AACTATTTATCTCGACGATCAGTGCCTGTAAGACTGCCAGACAGTTTTTCAAATATTTCTGGGGCAGTCCCCCCCCCCCATACCACTAGTTGAAGCTCGCGTCTTTTCCCCCTTAACCTTGGACTTTGATCCAGCTTTGTCCCCTGCAACCCTGTTAATACATCTGGCATAGTTAGGCTGGGATTCTTGACAGAGGCGTGGTGACCCAGAATTTTGCAATATTTATATGCGGGTGAGGGGTGGGGTGGCAGTCCCTCCCAGTGCCACCGGGTAATATTGGGTTGTGTGGGACATGCTAGAGTCGATTTGCAGCATGTCTGACCCACCGTATATGTTTGATACTGGTTAAGCATTATTATTATGTATAATGTTGAAAACCACATTGAAATCGGGCAAAGACTCAAAACCATGACGCAAAGCGCGTCATTGCGTCTCTCTCACTTAGCCCCTGATTCTTGACGCTCATGGGGTAAATGCGCCTTTAGCTTGCTTTTCCGTTTTCTGACTGGAATTCAGATTAAATTCTTATCACCATCTTACTTTGATCATTTTGAGACTAACAAATGGTTATATACGTATATAACATCCTTTTACAAATGAAGAATGGAATTGAATCAACGCAATATTTCGGTCATTTGGGGAATCAAATGTCCTAGATATAGAAATAATAATCAGAAAAAAAAGAAACAAAAACATGTAAAGAAATAGATATACAACATCGAATCAAAGATTTATACTAATATAAACAGTTAAACAGTTCACCAGTTTGGTTGTTGTAAGGCTCTCTAATGAAGAGTTTTTCGTTTTGAGGGAAATCTGTATTATTACAGACCCGAGAGTGTACAGTGGGATCATACTGCACACCGACATCGGTTAGTGCTAAATGATAAGGCCAGCTCAATTTTTCGTCATGGGTCACGAGATGTAAACAGGGCTAGCGCTAATTCCAACCCTAACCCTAACCCTGGACCTAGCCCCAATGCTTACCCTAACCCTAACCTACCCTACGGCTACAATCTCGCCAACAATCACGTGTCCTAACCTTATTTACATCTCAGCGATCTTGACAAAAAATTGAGCAGCTGGCCTTAACAAATAGATTTAGCCCCCCAGAGATCATGTTCTCAAGTGGAGATATCTGTAGACGGGCAGCATAAGTTTGGGATGCAGCGGGGCGGACGCTTATACGACACCCCCCCCCCCCGAATCAATTCACTTCATTTGATGTCTGTTGTTTATTGCTTACTATATCTTTGTAGTTTGTGTCTTCTCCGCATGTTTGTCGTTTGTCTAGTGGGCCGTGATTGCGTCCAGAGCGCGCCGCCCCCGCCCCTGCACTTAGGCTACTATGAAAGACAAGGTTAACGAACATGATAAATCAAACGTTTTATGTCCTTGGGCGCTGGTTGTAAAAGAAAGATAATATATTGTCTACATGCCAGTACATATCATAATACATGCATTATAATACCCTATGTACATGATATTACGTCAGAGACGTTAGTCTTTAGTCCCATAACAACTTTATGTGTAATCAACACTCATTTATCACCTCGACATGAAATTAACATGTTTATTATATATACACACATTGTTATAGACATTTACCTATATATGGCTATATGCCTAAACGTATGTATTCGTATCAAACAATATGTTGGGTTTTTTGTATAAAATAAAGCGAACTTCCCACTAAATCGCTCCATGGCCTAAGACCATAAATGGAATGATTGCAAAATCATATTCTAATATACAGGAAGAAGCTTCGGCTCCCCTGGTTCTTGTCTGCAATATCACTTAAGTTGAAGCAGACGTTAAAGATCCAAGGTACTACTACTACTACGTATATATCTGATAAGGAAATAAAAACGATATTGTGACTATATAGGGACTGTAGAGAGCAAAAAGCCCGAACAGTAACATACCTTTGGAATAGGGGAACCTATAGGAACCCGAGTTACATATATGGTGGGGGAAGTGGGGTGGGGGAACAAAATGCCATGGAAATTCAATAATGATGATAATGACTGGTTTCCAACCGTTGTTGGTGCAGAAAAGGTTTTTAAGCTTTGCCTTGGCAGTCTCATCGAGGTACAATGGGGAATGGTTGACACATTACTCAAGTGAATTTCTGAAAGAGCGAATTAGTCCCGAAATGACCCCTGTGTGTGTGTCAATTGGACGGCAAACCCCATTTCTTTTTTTTTCTCTTTTAAAAACATCTTTTCGTAAGCGGGAAGACTATTCTTAACAGCAGTAATATCACACCGTAGAAACAAATGGTTAGATCCTTTATACGAACATTTCGTTCCATTTTATTTATAGGTCGAAAGATGTTTCGTTATAGGGCGTGATCACTAATGCTTAGATTGTGATTTGTCGACCCTCCATCAAGTCATGTTAATGGAGAAAGGATAAAACATTTGCGATATCACTATTGTGGAAGCAGACGTTAAACCGCCAGGTACTACCACTATTTAGTTTTAATCAAGAACAATCGTGGATCAAACAGACATATAATATGCCTAATGAACAGAAATTTCATTTATCGTAAAACATAAACCTGTTAAAGATCTATTCAAAGATCTACTTCCATTGCACGTGTGACTTCGGATGTTTTTGATTTGACAGAAAACTAACACACATCTTCAATACAATTTCTACAGAGAGAGAGAGAGAAATGGGGTTTAACGTCCACTCGACACAAACTAGGTCATTTCGGGACTAACATATGGTTTTTAATTTTATTTACATAATTCGCTTGCGCGTAGGGGTCTTTAGCAGTGGGAGGAAACCGGAGGACCCGGAGAAAACCCACGAGGTTGGACAGGCGACCCTACTCCTTGTCACGTACAACCGGGGATCAATTTCTACAGTAACCAATTGCAATTTCTTTAACTCCAAGTGTTCACCGTAATTCCATAGAAATTAATTTATTTGATTAAATCTGACATTGCCCCTCCCAATTTTCTGTAGTCTTGAAATGGGAGAAAACACCCATACATCTGATGGGTGTTAATCCAATTAGGTATCTGGTATTTGTTTACCTCTTCCTTACTAAGATTACCTATTAACACCTGTAATTAAACCTCCTACCGTCTTTCTATAATTAACGGGACAGCGGGGTTACCGTCTAAATTCAAGATATAACACCCTTTTTAAACCACCTGTAGCGTATTGCAATGATCAGCTCGAAAGTCATTTTTACTATTCGAATGGCAAAAATGTTTTTAATTGGTCACAGCTAGGGTGGTACTAAAAGTGAGGTTTCGCGCTACAAAGACTATCTGCGATGTCACCACCATATAGGTGGGAGCGGAAATTAAGCCATATATCAATTCAAAGCAAGCTACAAAAACTCCATGAGAAATTGGCCAATATTGTTTTCATACACCGTTGTCCCGCACTTTTCACAATTTTTGTAAAATCTCTGCTGGGATCTTCGCCAGGGAGGAACCCCATTGAAATTCCAAGTAGTGCATCGATTTTATGCCCATATTTTACCGCTGCCTGGCAATATTAATCGTGTCAAAACTGGAATCCAGAAATTCAATCATACGTCGATTTTACATATTGTTCCTGCCACCAATAGCATGTACATTACACATTTCTTTTCTCTGAGTATTGACTGGGCAACAGCATGTGCTGTCCTTGGTGTTCCCAACATAAGACTGCTGTTGTGTGTGTTTTTCGTTGCCTGACAATACTATGTTGTTGTTTTTTTAAATTGTATATACATGTATATATTAGTGCCAACAAACTCCTTTCGCTGTTTCCAGGAAATAATAATGACACCAATGTGACAAAAGATTAAAAGGGATAAAAGGTGGAGTTTAACATCTCGTCAGCACAGCACTTTTATTTATTGGGGACTGGGTGTGTATGTGTGAGAGAGAAAGAAAGAGAGAGAGAGAGAGAGAGTTTAACGATCACGCGACATAAACTAGGTCATTTCGGGACTAACATATGGTTTAACTTTATTTCAATAATTCGGTTTCGCGTAGGGGTCGTTAGCAGATGGAAACCGGAGGATCCGGAGAAAACCCATATGAGGTTGGACGGGCGATCCTACTCCTTGCCACGTACAACCGGGGAATCGAAACCACGCCAGTTGATTCAATATGACAAACCTTATGATACAGCGCGCACGCGCTAACCATTTGCCCCCCCCCCATCCCCCTCCCCGAGACTGGAAATGCTCGCGTCAGTGTCATTACATTTTCAGCTATTCTTTTTCGAATTACTTCTGGCCCGGTTGCTTTTACGTGCATTATTTTTCTCATGCAAATACATTATTCTTGCCAATTTCCTGGTTTTATCCCTGACAATTAAAGACGTCGGACCATACATATACTTGTAAAAATGACATGGTAATGGGCGCTTATATTTTGTTACCGAGCAACAGTGGAAAATAGTGGACAAATCCTTATAATCAACCTATTTGTAATTTCGAGGCAGTAGATTCTGTTTTAAGAATTGCAAAAATAAGGTTATGGTTGGTTCGAAGATTCTGTATATGAACGAAAGAGAGAATTACGTCATGAATCGCGAAATAAAGGATTTATGGCAAAACAATGTGAGAATGAATGAAAACGTGAACTGTATCGTCCAATCAGAATGGGGGAAAATGGATAAAATAGACAGTTGTTTAGCGAACGTGTTTTTTTGGACTTCACACAAAAATTCGATATCAAAAGTATTTTTTGATGACTCAATTTCGCGCGCTCGGCAATATCAATAGGAATAAAAATGTTGACATAAAAAAAGAGCGCGCTTTATACAGAAGAAATTGTTACTGTTCTCGCGTTATATTATCGTATAACATGCTTCTATTCTAACTAAATATTTGATTTACGTGGTCAGTGTATTATTGACACAGTTTTTAGTAACTGTATTGGCTACAGATACAGTATCTGGGCTTGGTGACCGCATGCGACCCGCCCTTTTAAATGGTGATCATATTTGTCGCTAGATGGCGGTAGTACAGGTAGCGCGCAGCCATTACCTATACGAGTAAAAGGTGACAAGTGATATATAGTGGATGTCATACCAAGGTGTGCTAATAAACAGGTGTTAACTTATTGACATTTCTTTACCTCAACACGTAATAATTACACGTTATTGGACTTATCAAAGCGGTAAGTATTGTTTAATTTAGCGCTCGCAAAGATCTTCTAAAGTGATTTACAGTTTAGCGGGGTTTTTGCAAGGGATGCGGATTCGTCTGCGTATACGATAACAGAGCAATTCAAAGTCAAACTCGAGCTCCCGATATAACTAACAGTAGCCTTACGACGTTGGTGGCTTTAATAGCGGAAAAGGGGAATGTTGTTTTACTTGACTTGTTCGCGCTTCAATGAATTTTTGAATTGATATTTGACACATTCTGAGTCCCTTTTACAGTCAACCATTGATGATGTTTTCAGTGGACGTCCAGTTTTGTTTTCATTGAATAAACCCTCAAAATAAAAGACGCCCCATCAATACAGAAAACTCGGAAATGAGTTGATTTTCACCTGAGGAATAAAAGTTAAAAATTGTATGTTTATTGTGTATGCAAACAACCTGCAAACAATCTACAAACAATCTGCACTTGTGACAAATGAATATACACTGTTAAATATACACGTATCACACCTGTATAATATGCACTTATTATATTCATTATATTAATCCTTCATGTCTTGGTAAGATGTTGGCTCGCTAGCCTGGAGTTCGGGTGTTCGATCCCTGCATTGGCTGAGGATGTTCATCCAGATTTCCCGGCATGGTTCCCCCTTGTCAATGATGCAGGACAGAGGACCTGACAAGGACAGCTGTCTAGTCGTTCGGATGGGACGAAAAACCAAGGTCCTGTGTACACATTGGCATGCACAAAAAAGATCCCTTGACAGTTGGAAATTGATATAAGAGTTGGCCGTAGTGCCGGTGTCCGGGCAAAATTTCCATCATAGCACACTGTATGGCATATGCCCGTCTCCATTAGTCCAGTTCAGAGCAGAACAGTAGGACGTTAAACCCCATTTTATTTCATTTCATTTCCTTCATGTCTCTAGTATTCCCTTCTAGCAGGGTGATAATTTGTCCTTAATTGGACTGATACAACAAAATAGCAACATGTGTTATTTAATTTATTTAAAGCAGAAGCAGTGGTGAAGTAATTATTCTGGTGCATATTTCTATTCACACCTCACAATGTATTTAACAGTAAACTTGTTAATTCATTTTAATATCTCTGTGCCCCAGCGACAAATTGAAGTTAAAATTTCATGTACACATTTAAATATATTCATTCAGGTGTTATAAATGGTAATTAAACATTTTATATACCATAGCCACAAATACATATAGAACAAAGTCACATATTCATATACCACAGTTTGAAATAGAGTATTATGTAAAATCAGATAATAGCTAGCTTCAAATTGAAGTTAATAGCACTATAATTAACTGTCCTCAATTCACACTTGGTAGTTAATCAAACCACATTAAAACAGGATGTTAACTGATATACACCATTACAATTGAGGAGATATATTCAATTAAATCATCAAAAATTAAGTACATGTATGTACATATATGTAACAATTAAGATCATATATTCAATTATGTCGTCAGAAATTTAATATATACATTACAATTTTATCATATTTTGTTTGAAACATTTCGCCTGTAAGGTATATTAATATTTTTGGCTGTTTTAACAAAAGTGAACTTTGACCATTTTAGTTTATGGCCATTATTACCACATCCAATTGTAGAGTACTGTACATGGACATTGATTACATTATATATATTTTTGTCTAGAATGTTCATGATAAGCCTTCAATCTATACGATATTGCATGTCAAAACAAATTTATTGACAGTGGTCTTGATTACACAGGGCTGATTCACTTAAAAATCACACTAATATTATAAGTAATATATTTTAAGAAGTGACAATAAATGTCAATATGAGTATATAAATGAAGATATAGCATGTACTAGTAAATATAACACAATAATTTATACTTTTAAGCACATGCAACTATGTAATATCTATATATTTATGGATGATAGTGCTTACCTAAGATAGATTTGTTCAAAGCGTGTGTTTGTTGGACATATTGATCCTGAATCAGAAATGCCAGATTGTCCTGCAGGGCTGACAAGAAGGAAATTGTGTTTATTATTTAGATGAAAAGCCAAGCCAAGGTACTGTAACCTGTGTGTAAATTGGTATTGCATAAGTAATAGATCCCATTGCAGTTGAAATTAAATGAAAAGTAGGTAGGGAAGATGCTGTCGTTTCAAAATTCTCCTCCTTAATACTGTACATTAAAAGGTAAAGAAGAACAGGTTGAAAAGCCACAGTCCGAGCAAAATTATTGCTCATCTTTCATTGTACATGTAGGCTGAAAAGCCACTGTTGGGACAAAATCCTCCCTCTGGACACTTGTCCCAGAGCCTAGAGGGGCCCGGGGGTATGCCATGTACTGTTTCAGAAAAAAATTGTTGGTATACATAAAGATTAATAAAAACCCCCCAAAAAACTTTAACTTCATCGTAAAGTAGAAGAAAAATGGTGACTTTTCTGAACGTGGGTACCTAGTGGCATTGGTGCGATTAGAATCGAATTCTGTCAGCCTACCCATGGACCTTATAAGAAAGGTTGATGACTACCTGACCGAAACTGAAAGAGAAAATTTGCGGGGCCTGCCCTCTCGCATTGTACATGTAGCCAAATTACAGTGAGTTAAATATTAATGAAATATTAAACCCAACTCCCGTTATTCATTTATTCTGATTAAATTTTATGTACATTCTTACCTTGGTGTATATATTTTTCCCCAGAATGTCTCTTTAATTTGAATGTTAACTTTAAATAAAGGGAGTAGATGGTAGATTGATCTAGTGGTTATTTTGACAAGCCTAGCATACCATGAATACCACAGCTACTAGTAAACATACATGATAATACTAATATTGTATAATACCTGATAATATTACTTATCAAATAATTTAATAGATTAACTTTTTCTTAGAATTACACCTGTAAATGTAAACAACTATTAGTACAGTTCACAAGTTTAAAAGCAGATTGTATTCAGATTGCATTGAGGAGTGCCCCAAACAGATTTTTTTTAAAGGGACAAAAGTTTTTCGTGTTAAGTAGGGGTGGGCTGGGATTGAGGTTGATAGTTACTTGACTCATTTGTTTATTCCTATTGTCAGAACCGGATTAAGATTATTTAGGCCCATCGGACTACAGGTACTGTGAGGCACCTCAGAAATAGTTACATGTACATCCTACATGTACATGTTATGAATCTAAGAAATTTTTAAAAACTGGTAGCCCTGTTATGTCTAGTATCTTTACTATAAATGTATTACAATCTTTTTCAAATAGATGAATAGAGAATCTCCTTTGAGCCTTTTTTGATATGAAAAAATATCAACGCAAGTTGATAATGTAAAAAAAAGTCTGAGGCTTTGCCAATTTTTTTTTTTTACTTTATCGACAAGTGTTGATATTTTTTGATATGAAAAAAGACGAGTAGGAGATCATCCAACCCTCTCTTACACGCACAAATAAACAAATATAATTTTTTAGTATAGATTTTATTTCATGTGAAGCGATATCTCCTTAGGAGGTACATGTATCGCTCAGTAGATTATGAAAGTTATCACACTAGCGATATCTACTGTAGAATGTGTTATTGGCTGATAATTTTGAATACTTATAATTTGATTAAAGTTACATGAATGAAATTACCTTTTACTTAATTGGTGGTCTGCTTCCATATTATGTACTGTGCATGCAGTAGCCTGTCCAACTGATCTACAGGTCAAATATTAACTTCCTAAGCCTCTTATAGTATTATAACAGCATGAATTGAGAAGCGTCTGGAAAATGAAGATGTAATCCATTCACCTAAGGAAAAACAATAACAGGTTATTGTTCTTAAACCTTAAGTCCCTCATCAACCATAGTTGTCAAAAAAATAATCTTCATTTGCCAAAAAGACTCCTATACGTGTATGTGAGCTATTTTGATTTGGGTGTTGCCTCCTTTGCCTAGGGTACAAGTGGAAGATAAATTTAGTATTTAGGCATTTGGGGTCAAAGGATTAAGATGTCTTCCAGTTGCTAAACAGAACCTGCTATTGTTGTATATGTTTTCTAGTGCATAAAGATACCTGTACAGTTTTAGGAATCTATTAACATACATACATACCTGCATACATGTTCAGGTAGGATAATATCCATAATTTAATATTTAAAGGAGAACTCTAGCCTTCCTAGTTTTTTCATTCATTATCTACATCTGAAATAATTTCAACCTGAAGTGTCAGGTGGATTACAGATGTTTGATATCTGATTTGAGCCCCTGTGATTATTTAAAACAATTATTGATGAACGAAAACAAAATTATCATTGGCTAATTGAAGGATCAAGTCGGGTCAGTTGAACTCGCAATTCATCAAGACACAAAAACAAAAGATATAAAAATATAATCTATTTTTAATTAGACTGAACTAATTTAAATCCAGATAGGGATAAAATAAAAATGAACAAAGGGTGGTCCTTTAAACAAATGTATGAGTTAAGATTGGGAGGCTTATCATTCATGTATTAGGCAAATACACAGTATCATGTTCTAGAATTGAATTAAATTTCAAGTTGTTAAGCTGTGATAAAAACAGATTTGTTACAGATACATGTACTTAATGAATTTTAAGTATCCTACATTTACTTTATTTTAAAAGGACATTGTGTTCATTTTAAATAAACTTATTATATAGCCAAACTAACATCCTTGAACGCACCTTAACTTGTCAGAATAATGGTTAAGAATTATTTGTCTTAGACAAATAAAGTAATAATTGTTTTGCTATATTTTCCTTACAAGCTACCCCTGTAATCATGAATGTTTTTGATAATAACACAAATGTGATTTTACATAATAACAGTCTTTACGTAATAAAATAAATCATATTTTTGACTTTCAAGATATATGTGCATGGTCTGCTTTGTACGTTTGGAAAGGTAAGAAACTGAAGTATAAAGTACATGATATATTTTAAATTAGGTTAGTAAGGATGTAATACTATATTATAATTATACTATTATATCAACCAGGTATAAAATAATAT